CCCAGCTAATTTTTTGTATTTTTAGTAGAGACGGGGTTTCACCATGTTGACCAGGATGGTCTCGATCTCTTGACCTCATGATCCACCCGCCTCGGCCTCCCAGAGTGCTGGGATTACAGGCTTGAGCCACCGCGCCCGGCCAAGAGGAAATTTTTTAACTCATATTTTTTAGTTAGAAAAACACCATCTTGGGCTGGGCATGGTGGCTGTAATCCCAGCACTTGGGAGGCCAAGGTGAGCAGATCACATGAGGTCAGGAGTTCGAGACCAGCCTGGTCAACATGGTGAAACCCAGTCTCTACTAAAAACACACAATTTAGCCAGGCATGGTGGCACATACCTGTAATAGCAGCTACTCAGGAGGCTGAGGCAGGAGAATTGCTTGAACCTGGGAAGCGGAGTTCAGTGAGCGGAGTGCAGTGAGTCAAGATTGCGCCACTGCACTCCAACCTGGGTGACAAAGAGACTCAGTCTCAAAAAGAAAGAAAGAGAGAGAAGGAAGGAAGGAAGGAAGGAAGGAAGGAAGGAAGGAAGGAAGGAAGGGAAAAGACAAAGAGAGAGAGAAAGAGAGAAAGAAAGAGAGAGAGAGAAAGAAAGAAAGAAAGAGAAAGAAAGAAAGAAAAAGAAAGAAAGAAAGATCAACAGAGGCGGAGACAGAGTGGGCTACTGTGCTTGGTAAGGCGGGATGGAAAGTCTCCTGCCTGAGGCACACCCACCCAACTAACAGGTGAAACTGGAGCGAAATCAATGAGGATGTAAGTCAGGGATCTGGTTACTCTAGCATCTCTCTGGAGGACCCCTTGCCCTGCCATCAGTCCCACTTAGATCCCCGACTGTCCTTCCTCCAGGACAAATTCACATATCTAGTGGACTCCATGGAGAGCCCTCCCAAGGCAAAAAGTCAGGAACTGCAGGCAAATGCTTCCCTCCCACTGCACAGGCCTGGGGAAGACTGGGAAGGGCCTAAGGGAAGTAGAGAAACTGCCCTCTCTGCCCAAGAGCAACAGACACATCTGCAGGGCAGGAGTGAGGGACCCACATCTGACACACTTGGGATTGGGCTTCGGAAAGTATCCCCTCCCTGTGCTGTTTGTGTCTCAGCAGGTGATTTTGTCCAAGCCTCTTCCCCCAGGTACCAGGATGTACCGGCTGCACTAGCAGGTTCAAAGGCCTCAGGGGACAACCCTGTGTCCCAGATTTCTCAGCAAATGGTCTAAGCTACTTTGCTTTTCAGCTCTGCAGGCTGAAAGGAATTACCCCTAGGGGCCAGGGGCCAATGAAGCTGTGGGAACTTCTGGGCCAAAGGAGGAAGAGCACTTGATGAATTATTC